CGAGCCAGGTCTGATAGGGGCCTCTCCACAAGGGTGGAGCAGCTCTCCGCTGAATTAGCGGAGATGAAGTCCCTTTTTCAGGTACACCAACTGGGAACTGAACCAGTGGCAGCAACTGGACTCTCCTCCCCACCCATGCCTGAACTGGCTGTGGAGGAGGATGTGCTATCCTTGGCTGCCTCTGCCTCTCACTTTTTAGGTGAGGAGGACGGGCATTCATCTCGAGTCTCAGAGACAGCTTCACTCTCTTCTTCTCGGAGTGCAGTTAGTGGGTCGGGTGACGGCTCGATGCAGGACATTATGCGTATGGCCCTGAGACAACTGCAGCTGGACGTCCCGCAACCAGAGGCGTCCACCCCTGGAAGTGCCTTCTTCAGGCGCGGACTGACCCCTCCTTCCTTTTCTGTCCCTCCATCAGAGGAGTTCCTGAGGGAGTTGCATGGTTGCTGGCGGGACCCCAAGGCCTTTGCGCGCCTCTCTGCAGATGGCAGAGTGTTGGCGGCCATGCATGAGCCGGCTGCAGCAGGCTTGGATCGCATGCCAGCGATAGAACCTGCTGTTGCCTCTCATCGTGTCACCAGATGAAGCTCTGCGCAGTCATGTTCGGTGCCCACGAGCTCAGTGTCGTGTCACGGATGAATTCCTCTGCAGAGCCTATGCCGCCGGAGCGCGTGCTGGCCGCCTAGGTAATTCCTTGGCACACCTAATGCTTGCCCTCTCCGCGTCCCTTCAGGGGACTAGTGGTGCGACAGCAGCGATGGGCTTTAACGATGCAGCGCTTCAGGCCTTTGCACTAATGACGAGGGAGCTTGGGCGTGTGATGTCCTCCTTGGTCCAAGCTCGCCGACAGGTCTGGTTAGCTCAGTCAGCGTTGACTGAGCCATGCCGTAGAGCCCTCCGTAATGTCCCAGTGGTGCCGGGGGAGTTGTTCGGTTCGGCTGCCTTGGAAGCACTGGAACGGACTGTCCAGGCACGACAGAGAAGGCAGCAATTTTCGAGCCTTAGCAGGCCAATGCCCCCTCCACCTCCTCGGCATCCAAGGCGCCTGTCGGCTGGCTCCAGCATGCAGCCGCCGCCTGGGGGTCATAACCGGCCGGGTGGTCCTTACCCTCATGCGGTTCAGCAAAGGCCCAGCAGGAGCTCTCGTGGGTTGGTCCACCGACCAGCTGGGCAGGCTCGGACCAGGGACTCTGGCTGCCGCCCCCCCACGGCCCCTAGGGGTCGTGGAGGGAGACGGTGATGCCATCAGGCCGACCGTCGGATATTTCTCCCACCAGCAGCTCAGCTATTGGGTTGCTCACGCCGTGGACCCATGGGTGGTTGCCACTCTGACCCATGGTTACCGGCTACAGTTCCGACGGCGGCCTCGTATCTCAGGCCGGGTCAAGATGACTGTAATCGCCGACCCGGTGAAAGCTCAAGCACTAGACCAGGAACTTTCCGCCCTCCTGGCCAAGGGCGCAATAGAGGCAGTGGACCCTCTGCAACAACCCAGGGGCTATTACTCGACTTACTTCCTTGTGCAAAAGAAGACGGGCGGGTTTCGTCCCATTTTAGACCTGAGGGGACTCAACCAGTACCTAAAGGAGCTGCCCTTCCACATGCTCACAACAGCAGAAGTCCTTCAAGCTGTCACAAGGGAAGAATGGTTCACGTCTGTAGACCTGAAGGATGCATATTTTCATGTGCCTATTGCGGCAGAACATCGCCGCTTTCTCAGGTTTGCCTATCGGGGTCACCACTGGCAGTTCCGGGTACTTCCATTCGGGCTCTCTCTCTCCCCAAGGGTGTTCACTCGGTGCGTGAAGGCAGCCCTCTCTCCTCTGCAGGCCTGCGGAGTGAAGATTCTGCCGTACTTAGACGATTGGCTTCTCTGCGCCCCGTCTCAGGCCTGTGCCTTTCACGACACAAACCGTCTGCTCGCTCATATGTCCCAGTTAGGCCTCAATGTCAACCTGGAGAAGAGCTGCCTGATCCCTTCCCAGACGACCACCTTTCTTGGGGTGGTTCTGGATTCATCTTCAATGAGAGCTCGCCCATCCGCTCAAAGGGTGGCCGGCATACTCCAGCTGGTCAATCGGTTCAGGCTGGGCAAGCAGCTCCCCTATGTTGCCTTCCTGCAACTACTCGGCAAGCTGACATCAGTCACTCGGGTGGTGCCCTTAGGCCTGCTGTCACTTCGCCCCTTGCAGAGGTGGCTCAACAGCTTTCGCCTGGATGCCAGGCTGCACAGGCATCGCAAGCTCGCAGTGACGTGGTCATGTCTTCATGCCTTGACTCCATGGAGGGACGAAGATTATTTGTCCAGGGGTGTCCCCATGGGAGTGGTAGTGTGTCGCAGGGAAGTGGTCACAACGGATGCCAGCTCCATGGGATGGGGGGCTGTATGGCAACGCAGAGCGGTTCAGGGCCGCTGGGGTCAAAGAGACCATTCCAAGCATATAAATGTGCTGGAGCTGCGTGCAGTGCACTTGGCACTCAGGCACTTCCTGCCTCACCTGGAAGGGAGGCATGTACTTGTTCGGTCGGACAACACCTCTGTTGTCTACCACATCAACCATCAGGGGGGCACCAGGTCAGCACAACTTCTGAGTGTGTCCAGAGAGCTCCTGGAATGGGCCTCTCCTCGCCTGTCCACCCTGCGGGCGGCGTACTTGCCAGGGCGACACAATCAGGTCGCAGATTTTCTCTCCCGCCAAGAGTCCCCTCCGGGAGAGTGGTCCCTCCACAGAGACATAGTGCTGATGATCTGGGACCGTTTTGGTCAGGCAGAGATAGACCTGTTTGCGACGGAAGAGTCGACTCAGTGTCCCCTATGGTACTCTCTTACGGGGGCGTCGGGTGCGCTAGGCCAGGACGCATTGGCTCATCCTTGGCCAAGGGTCCTTCTATATGCCTTTCCACCCCTTTCTCTAATTTGGCCAACCCTTCAGAGAGTCCTCGAGGAGGGCCACAGGATGCTGCTGGTGGCTCCGTATTGGCCAGCGCGACCATGGTTCCCACTGCTACGAAGTCTATGTCAGGGCGTCCCATGGTGTCTTCCGACCAGAAGGGACTTGCTGTCTCAGTTGGGGGGGACTGATATGGCACCCCAATCCTCAACGTCTTCGGCTGTGGGTGTGGCCACTGCAAGGCTAGGACAGCAGCTGACTGGAGTTTCGAGCCCCGTCAGACGCACCATCCTGGGCGCCAGGGCACCCTCTACTCGTCAGCAGTACGAAAACAGGTGGCGCCTGTTTTCCCAATGGTGTTCGGATCACAACAAGGATCCAGTCTCCTGTACAATACCCACCATTCTGGAGTTTCTCCAGTCTCTACTTGGTAAGGGTCGCTGTCCTTCGACGCTTAAAGTTTATGTAGCGGCAATGTCATCTAATCACACTGGCATTGATGGCTGTACGGTAGGGAGCCATAATCTAGTCTCTCTTTTTCTGCGTGGTGCCCGTAGGTCACACCCGCCAACAGCTCCACGAGCACCAGGTTGGGACCTTCCCTTGGTTCTCGAAGCTCTGTGCCGTCCTCCTTTCGAGCCTCTGTCGCAGGCGGACCTCAAGTGGCTTTCATGTAAGACGGCTTTTTTGTTGGCTATTACCTCAGCAAAGAGGGTCAGCGAGCTACATGCTCTCTCAATCAGCCCCTCATGTCTCAGGTGGGGCCCTGAGGGCTCGTGTGTTACCTTGTGGCCAAACATTGCATTCGTACCAAAGGTGTTATCTCACTCTCACTCTAACCAACCGTTGAGGCTGGCACGTTTTCAGCCTGCGCCTGGTGAGGGGTCTGCATTATTGTGCCCGGTAAGGGCACTGGAGGCATATGTTGCAGCTACTGCCGTGATAAGACATTCAGACCAGCTGTTTGTGTGTTATGGAGGCCCTAGGTTAGGCTGTCCTCTTTCCAAACAGCGCCTCTCCCACTGGATCGTGGACGTCATCTGCCACGCCTATGCTGCAGGGCCCGGCTCCCTCCCGGTCGGCTTGAAGGCTCACTCTACCAGGAGCGTCTCCGCTTCCTGGGCTGCCCTGAGAGGGGTTCCGCTGGAAGCAATATGTGCTGCTGCATCATGGGCTTCCCCAAGCACGTTCACCAGATTTTATAGAGTTAACGTGGCCACCCCTCATCCCCTGGGCCAGGTTCTTCTACAAGGGTCCTCTGGGCCTCCTCAGTGAGGTAGGTGTTAGGATTCCTTGTGACATCGTTGATATTAGTCATTCAGTGCTTTCAGCACCGCCCTCTGGCGGTCAGGAGGGATGAAATAGAACGAAAGTTACGTATGTAACTACGGTTCTATGAATCCCGGATGACCGCCAGAGCTTCTCCGTCACTCAGAATCCTTGCGTTTCGCGAGAAGATTCTGTAGGAGCAGAGCAGCGGATGACGTCGGGCTATATAGCCTCTGATTGGTCATCCGTGTCACACCTGTGACTCCGTTGGTATTATTACTCGAATCAGCGCATGCGCGAAGGGAACATTCAGTGCTTTCAGCACCGCCCTCTGGCGGTCATCCGGGATTCATAGAACCGTAGTTACATACGTAACTTTCGTTTTTATTTTGCCATTGAAGAGGCTTTTATTTGATTATTTTTTTTGTTTTGGTCAAAGAGGCCGATTTACATTGATTATCACTGTGTAATCATCCAATGGTAAAATACTTTCTATAGGTACTGTGTACATTTCCATATGATTTTGAGCTTAACATAAACATACATAAAAAAAAAACAGTAACTGGCTTTTAAGCAGCTGAAAGCATTTATTTTGATAAAAACAAATACAAGCCTTTAGTTTATATCAGTTTTAGTTTTCTCTACTTCAACCAAACCCACCTTCTTGTGCAGGGCGATGTAGTCGATCCTGACCCCCGTCTCTCCGGTGAAGTAGTTGGTGCCATTGTAGCAGTGCTGCAGCATGGCCCAGCAGTACGGGGAGCGTGGTGGCGAATGACAAGAGTCCCCTGGACCTCCAAACCTCAGGAGCGTGCTGGCAGCTTGCAGCCCCTCCGAACAGGCATCATAGTAGTTTAGAAATCCTGAAAAGATAATTACACACATATGACCACAGCATTGCCAAGTCAGTGATAATAAATCTGTGAAATGTGAGAATTTTCAGTTAAAACACTAACTTCATAAACTTACTGAATATATCACAAAGACAATAAAACTAAACTGAAAAACACAACTGACACTGAAATAAATAACTGATAAAACCTTAAAATGTGTAGTTTGGGTTTACCTTGAATAGAAACAGTGACATTATCAAAGTCGTGGTTGTTTGGTTCATTCCACGTTTCAAAGTTCCACAGAGAAACGCTTCCCAGCCCATATTTATCTGAAATTCAGTTTAAACAAACACAATCAATATTTTTGTGACGTTGTGTTCCCGGCTGGTCCTTTACAGATCTTCATTTTGTTTTAAAACACTGAAAATGTTGGGAGAGTTATGTTACTGCATTTATCAACATGTATAAAACCCATTTTCACCATACTCAGACATTTATTTAGTCTTTAACTCTTGTCAATAATTTTCTATCCAGCATAATAACTCAAACGTCTAAACTAAAACAGTAAAAGAGGTAGAGGTAGGACTGAGTCGTGTATCACTCACCAATGTACCTTTTGGCTGTGAGATAAACCAGATTTCTCCATTCGATCACTTGAGATTTGTTTTCAAAGTCAGTGAAGTAGTTTGATACGCTGCCCATCAATTCAAAACCTGAAACGTGCAAGAGAATAAAAACATATCTAATTGGACCTGATGACGTTTTCATGTATATTTTTACACTTATGGGTCAGCTCTGCTTAACGTTTTGGTCAAAGAGTTTGGGACTATAATATATAGCATAGAGAATGAACACATGAAGACTGAAGTACCTGGTTGGAGTCCATTTACCCACAAGAGTTCTATCAGCCGGTCCAGATTTGTGAAGTTATACTGAGGTTTTCCTCCAGTATCTCTACAATAAAAAACACAAAGCTGTGACTGAGCATCATATGAACCAACACTAAAGGACAGGATTTCTTTAGCCTGGAGACTCACTGTACAGTGACCAGCTCCAACATCCAGTGGATCCTGACCTGCTGGATCCCTCCATGGGGGACTGAGCCCACATAGGCTAGATTCAGCTGCTGGTCTATGCTCAGGTCAAACTGGTCAGCCTGGGTGTGGGGGAGCGGGGGACTGCGCACAATAACATTATAAAAATAAGACAAGGGGTGCAAATGTGTAGCACAACACTTTGCTCTGTTAGTTCAGCTGAAAACATTCAAAAAATATTGGCTTGTTGTAATATTTAATATATTTACGTAATCAAAGTTATTTTACTTTTATTAAAATCCTTCTCTTCTGGTTGAGTCACCATCATTCACTGTTATGACACAGTGTGATTTAATTTAGTATTTTATTGTTCTGTATTTTTAAGTTTTTCTTTTGATGCTTTTAATAAAGTTTTGCTACTATCATTACCTTTTTTCCGATTAAATTGCTCCCATTGATTTTTAGTGTTGAGCACTTTGGCAGCAGCTGCTGTTTTAAACGTGCTGTACAATAAATTTGACTTGACAGTAAACGCACCATGGTTTGTTTATACACGACTCACCAGAAACCAGTGCTCCTCCAGAAGTGTTTCAGTTCTCCTTCTGGTTTCTCAACATCCACAGTGACAACAAAAGAGCCTGAAGTTTCAGAAAAACACCGGAGGAAAACAAGAAGAGAAAAACTTCTCCAGAAAACCATGTCTGCGACAGACATGAAAGGCACGACAGCTCTAGCCGACGCGATAATTTAAAGGTTTACGATAAAACAATATATTAAGTGTCAACATATCTTTTATGAAAAATTCGAGTAAATCATCAAAATATGTGCAATACCTCTAAAAGAGCACTAAACGCGACAAAAACTTACAACCAACTGCTGCTACAGGCTTTCGCCTGATCATGACGTAGTTTACATGCGACCGTTCTTGTAGTCTTGTGTAGACTGTCCTTGTAGTCGTACATGAAGTGTACCAAAATAAAACTTTAAACACCTGAACGTTTAAATGCAAATATGCTAATTATTTAGCATGTTATGAAGTCAGAGAACTTAAAAGCAATAAATTAAAATGTTTTTAAATAATATTTTTAATTAGAAAAATGTCTGTTGAGATTTGTGGCACAAAATTGCATTTTTGTCAAAGTCAAAGTTTACGCACCACATGTGGTGGTGGAAAGAAAATGTGTACACAGGGTCTCAGTTACATCCAACAAAAGTATGAATTTTAAAGAAAAACTAATAAGATCTAAGATAAGAACTTAGAAAAAGGTTAAACTAAAAATATGCTAGTAGTACCAAAACAATATGCCAACAGCAGCACGAACATGAGTCTGAGTGAGCAGATGAGCACGAATGAACACAGCAGCATGAGATCAGCAACATGGATAATCAGCAGCACATAAACAATCAAATGGTATTACAGTGATTATTTCACAGTGCTTCTTCTGGTTAGCGATCCATGAGTCTAACAGCCTCAGGGTAGAAGCTGTTCCTCAGTCTAGTGGTTCTACACTTAATGCTCCTCAACCTCCTGCCTGAGAGGAGCGGGGCAAAAAGTGTGTGTGCTGGGTGAGTGGGGTCCTTCATGATGCAGGTGGCCCTCTTCATGTAATCTGGAGGTGTAGATGTCTGTGATTGTGGGGAGGCTGATTCCAACAGATTTCTGTGCAGCCTTCACCACTCTCTGCAAAGCTTTTCTTTCTGCAGCTGTGCAGCCTCCATGCCACACGTTGATGCTGGAGCACAGGATGCTCTCCACTGCACACCTGTAGAAGGAGGTGAGGACTGAGCTTCCCAGACCAGCTCGTCTCAGCTGTCTGTGGAAGTAGAGTCTCTGATGAACTTTCTGGATCAGGCTGGTGGTGTTGCTGCAGCTGAGGTTGTCATTCAGGTGCACACCCAAGTACTTGTAGCTGGAGACCACTTCCACTGCAGATCCTCCTGTGTTCAGAGGTGGGTAGGTGTGTTGGGTTCTCAGCTTGTTTTTCCCTTATTTTAAATTATTGTGAAAATCTTCCAGTGATTCTAACAAGGTTGAGTCAGGTCCTCTGGATGGATTCTTCTTAGATTTTCCATTAAACTGTCAAAGCATCTACTGATTAGCTATGGTTTATATAACTACACAAGGTTCAATTCTATTTTTACATTTTAATTAAAACACAGAATGTCAGTAGACAGGTTGTGATTTTTTGTAACAAACATTCAACAGAAAAAGAGTTGTTAATGGGACATTTATTTTAAAAAAGGGGAAGGGAAGAAACAACGAGACATGAAAAGAGAACTTTGATGTCATTTACATTTTAACGCAAACATACTGGTAAACAGCAAGTTATACACAACCATTTACACAACCTGTACAAATATGTTGTCCCACAAATTTAAATTTCAATTCAAAATAACTTAAATAGGTTTCTTGGTAAAAGTGCACATCCATAAGTGTGAATGTCTGCGAGCGAGACCGTGGCGACAGACAAGGATGCTTTGAAGAGCTGTTCATCTGTAAGGCGTCACAAGCACCTGTCAACATCTACCAACTCTGTTCAAAGCAGTCACATGTAATGCTTTTAGCGTACGACACTTTCATCACGCTTCATCATGACGCCTTACTTTGCACTGCTAAAGCACATTGCCTTTCATGCAAATCAATAATGTACTTTCAATAAAATCATCTCTAATTTAGTAATCTTACAGAGCCCTTTCTCAATAAGAGCATATGCAGCCTGGAATAAAACCACTAAAAACTGGACAGTTCAGTGGTTGTAGGGTTCCTCAGGTAACATTTGGAACATAGGCAACACAGCACAGCAAGATGTGTTAATAAAAAGCAGTTACCGCAGGTCAGTCTGTAAAAAGTAAAACCCAGTGTGGTAGCGGAGTTGAAACCACAGGGTTCAGGTTTTCCTGAAGAGACTGTGTGGAGTCCAAAAGGCTGGTGAGGTGGGGTTCTGTGAGTCTTCAAAGTCACGAGGCAACAGAGAGTGGAAAACAGTTAATGCTGAAGTTTCAAGTCTCAACAAGCTGCTCCTGTGAAGAGATGAAGGGGAACGATACTGAAAGTACAGACCCACACACACTACTGGAACTTACATGCTTCTATAATAAACATGCAGCCGATTTGGGGGGGTCCATGACAAAAAGTAGAGTATTGTACAGCATAACTGTTTATGAAACACTAGTCACCATGATTTCTACAGGGCAGGAGACTGAAATGTGTTTGATAATGAAAACTCTGTTCAGGCAAATACAAAGGATAAAATATCAAGCATTAAGTCTGTGATGCCGTGCAGCACAAAAACTACGACTTCTGCTCAGCTGCTGCTGCAGACTGGGCCGTGCTCTCTGGTTTAAGGATCTGGTAGGTGATGAGGTACTCCGGGTAGGCCTGAAGGAAAACATGGCAAGCCATAATCAGTGTTAATGTATTTTCTGCTAATGCTTTGGATTAGGAAAGATTTAGGTAAACCGTTTAACTCGATGACTGTTTACCTGCTCTCCTCTGTAGATGACATACTCAGCATAAGCTAAACCGTTAACGCTGGGCCGCCCGATCACTGAATGATGTCCTGGAGGGGCGTGGGCCATCTTCATGGCACTGAACTGTAGGAAGGACTTCCCCAGTGTCACTCGGCAGAACAGCATTTGTCTGAAAAAGAGAAAGGTACAGAAACCAAACTCTTATTTAGTGCTTTCATTTAGTCTGGAACTCTGCTGCCAGTTCAGGGTCATATTAGCCATAAATTACCTGTGGCACAGGTAGCACGATCTGTCTTTGTGCGTCGGGCATCCCGTGCCTCCGCCGATACCATAAACATACTGATTGCTTTTTGAGGAGTTCTCAGCAAAGTAGATCCCCGCTCCAAACATCCCTCCAATGTAAGCGTGGCGCTCATCAAAGCCTTTGTGAATGATAGCGTTGATGAACGGAGATCCTGGGGAAAAAAATACGACATCGGAGATGCAACAGTGTTTTATAATAACTAGGGATGCACGATATTGGATTTTTGGTCGATATCCGATATGCCAATATATTTTAAAAAAAAACTTATTTGGCCGATAATACCAATATTTTTTTTTCCTAGACCTCCTTACAGAGACTACATAACTTTCTCTGCTGTGGAATTAAAACACTACATTATTTCACAAATCTAAGTTCAACCTGTTCACAAGCAACAAGTGAAAAGCGCATTAGTAGCATTAATAGATATACTTGACAGTTTCTTAAATTAAAAATTAACAAATCAGAAGCCCAATACATGGTTATACAATCTTAATGATTAGGCCTGTCACAATAACAAATTTAGCTGGGCGATTAATTGTCTCAGAAATTATTGCGATAAACGATAATATTGTTTGAAATCTGACTGTTTGTTTTGCATGTAGTACCTTTTTTCGACCACTGGATGTCAGTATACGACAATCTGAACTGAAGGATGGATAGTGAGGGAGCGAGCAGCGGTGTCTCTAAGAAAAATGGGAGAGAGGCCCCTTAACGTGACATGGGCTGTCTCTCTTCAGTTCTCAAAATGGCGGACGCTCGGTGTGGTTTGAGCTCTTTAGCGTAAAATTTTTCACACAAAGCTTTTAATAAAATATTAGTAAACAAGTTCTCAGCTTCTTTTTGTAGAAAACAAACAACTTTTTAGATGAAGGCACGGGTTTCAACTGTGAATTTTGGAGCTTCAACAAAACGGACGGATTTTAAGAAAAGAGTAAATAGAGAAAGGGAGGGGTCAGTGAAGAGCTTTTCGTCATCCAGTGTTTTCAGTAAAAAGAGAGAGACAAAGAAACGATAAAGCCGATAAATGAAAATGAGGTCGATAATTTTCATTTATCATGCGAGTCATTGATTTATTGTTAATTGCGACAGGCCTACTAATGATCAACTTAAATCTCTATGAATTTTGCCATGTGCAGGCATCCTTGTCACCGAGTTGTCATACAAAAACAGAGCCTTTTATATCGGTGAGTTATTTTGATGGCATGGCCGATGCCCAATATTTAAGTTTATCGCTTATATCAGCCGATACCGATACGCCGATAATATTGTGCATCGTTAATAATAACCTGAGTGCACACAAGTCACACAAATGTAAATGGCTGTAACTGGTTACCGTGAAACAACATGCGCTCGTTGTGATGGTTGTGATTCTCATCTGCTATTTCCTTCTGCCTGTGGGTGTAACGTTCTCTCAGCTTCTTATTCACCACTTTCTGGATCTGTTGAGGACAAAAATCATAAATCATGGGATACTGTCATCACTTATTAAGATCTACAAACCTAAGACAAAAAGGAAAAAAGGTACCTTCATGATGTTGTATCTGCTGAAAACCCCACCAGCGTTGCCTCCATCTCTGTGCTCCCTGATGGTGCTCTGCATCTAAGAAACGTTAAAAACGGTCTTAGTTTTTTTTAAATCACTGCTTGTAATCAGACGAGTCATAATTTTACAGGTGATAAGAGATATTCAGCACCTCCTCCTCTACAGACTGGTACTCTTTGTCATCGGGGGAGAGGTCGATCAGGATGGTACCCTGGTTGGCACAGTGGAATGTCAGATAAGGGTTGGCACCTGTGAGGTGGCAAAAAGAACAAGTTTTAATATTTTAAACATCTGGCTTGAGGAGCTCAGTTGGCAGGAAAAAAGCAGACTTGTGAAAAGATTTTCACCTTGTTGACCCCCCAGCAACCGTTCAACACCTTTAATGAGTTTGTGTCGGTGGCCGTACGCGTTAATCCCGATCTCCTTCAGCTCCTCGTGGCCCATGTCAACCAGCACATCTAGTGTGATCTGAAATGATAAACATGAAACAAAAAAGGCTTAAACAAAACTCGGTAATATTAATTTCACTACACAGGTGGGTTTTAATTAACTCGTTTGAAACCAAGTCATGCTACTGACCTGCTCCCTCTCAAAGATGTCCCTCAGGTGCTCCAAACCAAGGCTCTTCAGGAACTGACTGATGTTCATGTCAAGCATTGTCACTGTGTGTGTGTGGGGTGGGGGGACACAAGAAAAACACAAAATTTAGACTGAACATAGAAACAATTCTTCATTCAACATGTAACTACGGTGGCAGACAGGTGCAAACGCACAGCAAATACATGAAAAACAACTGCAAGGAAGAAAAGCTGCAAACAGCCTGTTTTGTAAATTGATGAGACCTTTTAGACTGATCCAAACACTAATATCAGTGATACAGACACATAATATACACTAAAATTATTAGGAGTATTTTTACTTTACACTGGCAGATCTTACAAATGTGCCAAATCATCTTAGCTGGACTCATTGCTTGTTTTGATAATCTTACCACCAATTCCAATTTCATATTGTGGCAAAATTATCTAATGCTTTCTTTTTCATGTTTCTCTCAATATAATGTCTCCGGTATTCCGATGAAATATCAAATTACATGATTTAAAGCCACTGTCTTGCCCATGTTTAATTTTCTGCCTTTACCTTTAACAAAAGCAACTTTTTGTTTCTTTACATAACCAAAACCTCTTTTTACTCGAGACATTTTATGTATCCTTGCATACTATGAAAGTATTACTATAGCTTTAGAAAGTGGCCGCTCAGCTAAATGCATTTACAGTTGGTCTGGTCTAGAGGATGACATTTTTTCGGGAGTACAGCGGGTCACGTGATTCCGGCGGGACCGGAGTCAACCTCATTATAACTCACGTGACCAGGACGTGACCGGACTGAAAGCTAACAGAAGCAGACAGGAGCGGGAACCGTCCAATAACCAAAAATGAAAAAAAAAAAAAAAAACGACGCAGCTATTTTGTAGTTTTCTTTCAGAAAGCCATCACTTTAACACAAGTCAAAAGAACTACATTGCCCAGAAGTCAACTGTTCCAACTGTAGCTTTTCACCGAGCAGCAAAGTCTCCAGCAAAGAAACTGAGTAGCTGAAATAGTTTGCAACGCAAGGTAAGAAGTAACCGTCTGTCTATTAAACTCACAGAACGGGCAGGAAAGTGTCAAATAACCCTGAACTTCACGAGAGTTGTGTTGGTGCTGCTTTAAACTTTAGTCTCAGCTGTGAGGAGCTGCGGGAAGTCGGACTTTGTTTACCGTCAGTAAATAAAAAAACTCAAACAGCGCATTTTTCTCCACCATATCCCTTTTAATTTAAAAATTATGTTCTGCTTTGTTGTGTGGGTTTTTAGGTTAAAATCTTCATCTTCATCTGTTGCTGTTTGTAATGTAAAAAACAAACTACAACAACAACAACAACAACAACAACAACAACAACAACAACAACAACAAAAAACACAAAACAAACTCTTCCTGGTTAAAGTGCACGCATTCTCCGTAAAAAATATCCCTATTTTATATTTTGGCGTCCTGCTGGATACTGAAATCGAGGAAAACGTGAATAACCATCACTTTATTGTGTAAATAGTTACTGTCAGCCTCAAGCCATGTCAGTACAAGAATAAACTCATTAGTGAAAGCATTCTCCTGTAAAAATATCCCAGTTTTTATATGAAAGGCTGGCTGCATATACATTATAATAATTGTTTTAGTTTTAGATTTAGGATATGGCGTGTACAATTATGTTGTTGAGTTAAATTTTAGGCCAAGAGTTGATTTTTCTCAGTTCATTTCTTCACACCAGGGGCGATTCTAGAAGCCCTTTTTAGGGGCCATGGCTCTTGGCTTGAACCACGCAGTGGCTATTAGCATTAGAATTACTGTAGGGGGACATATTGGTGCGAGGTCTGTGGGTCCTCGAGATGGAACACCAGACCTGCAATGGTCCAGTCTGTAAATGATGCTCTGAAGTCTGGTAAGATGCACGACATCATGCTTCACCCAAACGAGCTCGTTACCTCGACCACATAGATTGTGAACTTCTTGAGGACGTCGTCCAATGTATAATAATGTCTTTAAACATTTTTATTTGTTGAGTTCTCTGCTTAGTACATTATTTTTCTTTTTTTGTTTTTGTTTGTTTGTTTAAACAATTTAAAACATGGCAGTAATGTCACTGTTTAAAGGAAACAATTGCTCAATAAATTAGTAAAATGCAACTTGTTATGTTTGGGTTCTTTCATCTAAGGCAGACATGGTGTGACACATGTACTGGTTTTGATTTTTTGTTTTTACTGTAACTGACCATCAAAAGAGCTGGAAACAGAGATTCAGCAGCTGATCCTCCGTAGAAAAATTATATGGACTACAGGCCATGGATTATTTGTTTTATGACATTTAGTGAAGGTTTTTGTTTGGATTAAGGAAATAAATGTCTCTATTTCACCACAGATGAACTGTTCCTGTTGCCATATCTTTTGAAATAAAACTGCACAACACAAAGTAATTTAAACAGGAATGGGTAGAAGATCAAATCAAATTCAATGTATTTCCTAAAAATTAAATGAAGAGAAAAAAACAGGAGCGGTACAGGAGTGGGAGTGATTTTGAACAGGAGCAGGAGTCATGTTACCAGGAGTGGGACAGGACAGGATTATTTCTGTGAGACCAGGACAGGACAGGAGTGAAAATCCACTCCTGTGTCATCCTCTAGTCTGGTCCCATGTGATTTGGTGGTTGGCGCCCCGTAGTGGTCTAGTGCTCTTCCTTTTTTTTCGGGTTTTGTTTGCAGCATTTCTTACTTGCAGTTGTTTTTTGCATATTTGTTTTTTTGTGTTTGCAATTGTTTTTTTGTGTGTGTGTGTTTGCGTGTTTTTCATTTTCCATCATACAGCGTTTTTCTGTTGCATTTG